AAAAAAGAAAAAGAAAATACTTAGGAACTAGGTAAAGTGCTGGCACAATGTTGTGAAGATATTGAATGTCAACACTCACTTTTAAATGGCTCACTTTACATTATGTGCATTTTGCCTTGAAAATACATAACATATATATATATATATATATATTAGAACATTGCCTAAGTTCTGGGAAAGGCACGGGAGAACATTCTAGACCAATAGGTGATATCTAAATCAATGATGTCCAATAGAAATTCCATATGGGTCACAGAGTCACTTTATTAATATTTTTTAACTGTAATATTTTTAGTAGTGGAGATTGAACCCAGGCTATTTTACTTGCTAGGCAAGTGCTTTGCCATGGAGCTACATCCCAGCCCTATTAATATCATTTATTTTTAATTTAGTCAGGCAAGGGTCTTACTTTATAGGTCTGGCTGTTCTCCACCCCATAATCCTCTTCCTGCTTCAGCGTCCTGAGTAGCTATCATTTAATTTTTTCTGATAATACCAAAAAAAAAAAAAAAAAAAGGTAAAAAGAAACAGGAAATTTGAGCAACCGTTTTATTTAACCCAGAATATTTTTTTAAATATATCATTCTGTGATACAACTGAAATTCTGTGATGGTGGTCACACAAATCTACATGGGTCATTAAAGATTTCACAGAGCAACATACACACACACACACACACACACACACACACACAGAGTTACGGAAAACAGGCAAAATCTGAACAGAATCGGTGAATCGCATTCCCATGGTTTTCCTGGTTGCAATATGATCGTTTTGCAAGGTGTTCCCACGGGCAGCAACTGGGCGGAGGGCAGAGGGGATCTCACTGGAGTTTTACTGTCTAGGGTGGACTGAAATTTGAGATTGCCTGCCTTCTGCCTAGAATTAAAGGTATGAGCTACCACATGCAGCTACTCTGCATTCTTTTTCAGAGCCCCTGGGAATCTGTAATTCTGGACACATAAGGGGGGCTTGAGCGTTCCTCTGCCGGGTGCTGGGATCAAAGGCAGGCACAGAATGTGTGCTGCTGTTCATGCAGAGCAGGCCAGGCACACCGACCTGAGCCAAGCCAGCCTTCCCCTTGTGGGCTTAACAGGAACAAATGGAAACAATCACCGGCCCAGACAGAAAACAACCTGTGTGTAGCTTTCTAGGCATAGAAGGCAAGCCCTGCTGTGAGCGCACGGGGAGCAGGGGAGGGGGTAAGAGGTCGGCAGCCCAGACCCTGCATCACTCCTAACCACTGGATCAAAGACTAAAGATCTCTCAGGGCCACCACATTTTGGGAATCTGCCTCTGTTCTGGGAATTGATCCTTCTATGTAGGTAGCAGGATTCCAGTTAACCCAAGGAGGAACTGAGGCACAGAAGGAACAAGAAGGCTTTCCACGGCCACTAGGAGCTGGGAGCCAGGATTGGAGCCCACATGGTCTCACCCCAGAGCCCAGGGCCTGGCCCATGTACCTTCGTGCTTCCTGGCTGGACCATGCAGGACACTGATCTTCTCTAAGTAGAGGATCTTTAACCAGCCCCATCTCCTAGGTCACTGTCCGTGTGACACCTGCTTCATCCTGATAGCCAAAGGAGCCCAGAGCCCCATGTATTTTAGAGTCATTGCTTTGACCTTGAAGTGGGCTGCAGCCTCTGTGTGTGTGTGTGTGTGTGTGTGTGTGTGTGTGTGTGTGTGTGTGTACATGTGAATGCATGTGGGTGGGTGGTCTATCTATACAATGGAATATTTGGCCATGAAAAGGAGATCAAGCCACCTGCCAAAGGTCACCGAGCAGCTAAACAGACTAGCCCATAAGTCCCTCTCCCCTCACTACCCACACTCAGCCAAGACAGCACAGCCTGGTCAGTTTCTGGGGTTTTCTGGGGTCTCCTAGCCTTAACAATCAATCACCCTCTCTCCCAAACCAAAAGCAACCCCCTCCGGGGGTGTGATATCCTGAAGGGAGAGGCAGGGAGAAGACTGTGCTGGAAGGTAGAGGACTCACAGGTCCAAAGCCTGCTCTGTCCCCTCTGCTGCAGGGCATCCATTGAGTGACAGCCTCTGGGTGCTTTCAGGGCCCTGTGTGGGAGGCAGAGCCCCTCCCCTCCTCCACGGGGCCCTGATGGGGCAGAGCACGCTGGAGGGAATTGAAAACTCAGGCCATTCTGCATCATGGCTGGGCCAAGGGGACAGAGCCCAAGAGACAGAGAGCCCCAGGGCCCAGGGCTGAGGCCACGAGCAGGATTTCAGGCCAACCCAGCCTGCTTGACAGTGTCTTCCCAGTCAGAAAGAGGCCACACTAATTAAGTGCTCACTGCTCTCTTGCAGCCCTGGCAGGGCTCTGGAAAGGCAGGAAGCCCTCAAACTGGGTCAGAGACCCCGTCCTTCAGAGTTACGCAGCAACATGAGGCTGTATCTCAGAACAAGGCTCTCTGCTGCTTTCCCTGGGTCCCACTTCCTCCCTAGCCCAGGCCTGGAGCATCCTATGTGAGAGGGGAGGGATCATGGCAGCCTTTCTGGGCCACATGGTCTCCCCTGAGTCCTGTACACACGATGAGCCCTGGCTACTGCCTTTAGGGGTGATCAATGGGGTCTTGACTGCCTGCTTTCAGATTCCAGGTCTGCTCCTCATTGCTCTGTGATTTTGGACAGGTGGCTTGGTCTCTCTGTGCTTCAGTATCCACAATTGCAAATATGAGGAATAACAGCACCTTTTACAGGGTTGTCATGAGGATGAAGCAGGTGGATATTTATGAAGGAATTCAAGTCAGGGCCACTGGCAAGTGATATCTAGTATGCCCTTTTCCTCTCTTGAACACTGCATTTTCAACAGTATTATTGGGATAACAATATACCATGTAATTCACCTATTTACAGTTACAATTCAATGGCAGAAACAGAGTTGTACAACCAATACCACAATCAACTTAAAAAAATCACACACCCATTGGCAGTCAGTCCTCTCCTCCTCCCCTCATTTACTTTCTGCCGCTATAGATTCTCCTGTTCGGAAATCAGCCTGTGGAAAGAACCATACAGTACGTGACCTTCTGAGTCACGTGACTTAGCCAGGCTCATCCAAATCGCAGCACGTGTCAGCGTTTCTCTCCTTTACCTGACCAAATAACGTTCCATGGAATGGCTATACCACATTCTATTAACACAGTTACCAGGATAAACAGACATTTGAGTCTTTTCCATTTGGAAGCTATTATTATTTTGTTAAAAAGCTTGGGTAAGGCTCCGCATGGATATGTTTTCATTTCTCTCAGGGAAACACCTCAGAGTAGAATTATTTGTTAAACAGAAGATTCTCATCTCATCCGGGTTCCCCAGCAGAGATGATGGAAATGAACTCTACTGGGCACTTGCCATAGGCCAGTTGTGGTCCAGGTGGGCTCACACATAGTCTCAGAGTTCCATCAAGATGGCTGAGATGGTTACCATCACTGTCTACTTGAGGAAACTGAGGCATGGAGCGTCAGAGCAACAGGCCCAGAGACACACAGCTAACATGCACAGAATAGGGCTTAGTTCCTTCTGTCAGCATAGAGTCAGAGAGGCAGGAGGCATGGCTGGGGGTTCTGGGGACAGAAAGGGGACACTCCTCCCCAGCCTAGCAGAGGAGTCCTGGTTCTCAGTTCTCTCACATCACACAGATAGCTAAACCTGCTAGCAGGCACGTCTGGTCCTGAGGAGAAAAGGGACCGCCTTCAAGTTCAAGTTCAACAAGCTTCAAGTTCACTTTTTGCAGACAGGGAGGGAAGGAAGTGGGCCACCTGTGGCTGGAGGTGCCTGTGGTCAGACCCTGGTTATCTTCTCCCCAGGAAGCTGCCTTCTGAGGACTTTGTTTACACAACTTTTGCCTGTGGTTGCAAGTGCAGGAGAGAAGCAAGGGTCCAGACAGCAGGATGACCCTGAGTGGGGTGTCTTCCAGGTTATGATGGTATCTGTGCATGGCTCAGATTGCCCAGAAAAGCACTCTTGCTTCAGAACTTGAGCCCCTGGCGGGGGTGGGGGGGGTGGGGGGGGGGAGGTAAAGGGGGGAGGGGGGCGGAGAATGCAAGAAACCTTTGTGTTAACCCCAACGCTCACTCCTTTTAAACATCAGAGCCCCCAAAGGATGTCATGGTGACAGGCAGAGGCTGGGCATGCCAGGAATCAGTCCAGAGACTGGACTCCAGAGAGTTCCAAAGACTGAATTTGACTGACATTTCGGGGGGGGGGGGGGGGGGAGGCAGGGGAAGAGCAGGAAAGGATACCTGCAGCACCCGCAGACTCTGCGTCCATGTTCCTCATGCTGAAGGCAGGTCAGGGCCACCCCTAGCCACTCACACGCTGCTGCTAGCCTCCTTCTTCCTCTGCTCACTCTCTGAGACTGCCTCCACCCAGGAGAAATCCCAAGGCCCCTCCAGATCTCCTGTCAGAGGAGGCAACCAGCTCACATCTGTTCTGCCGGGAGGCTTTGGGACAAAGGGTCAGCGGTGACTGGGCCACTTGAAGTCACAGGGGCTCTCACTGTGCCCCAGGCCCCAGATCTGCAGCTCAGGACTTCCTGTCAGAACTTCCTGCTCCTTGGTAAAGTGGCAGTATTCAGGACCACAGACTTAGCATTCATCTGATGGAGTCAAAACCCAACTTGATCACTTAGGAGCTGGGAGACCCGGACAGGCCTCAGTCTGCTCTCCTGTAAGAGGCTGTTTACCATTTCTGTCTTATATAATTTCCTCTGCAGCTGGCCCAGCTCCACACTCAATATGCAAACGCCGCTCAGTCTCCACTGAGCGGTGAGATAGGGGACTCTGGCTCAGGGTCACTGGTCACCTGGCATCCCTTTTCCACACCTCACAATGCTTCATGGGGCTGGGGCTGTCAGCCTGAGCACAGGCCACCCCTAAGCAGAGGGCAGGAAGCCAGAGTGAGGAGGCCACAGAGCTAGGTCTTCCAACAGCCATGGACTGGACTTAGGACCCCAAGTGGGCTGGGCTTGGCCAGGACTGATGCTGTCCTCTTAGGGGCCAGAAAGAGATCTGAAGCCAAGAAGGTGCCAGAGGAAGCCAAGAGTTGCCATCTTGGTTCTCAGGTGGACTGCAGGGGATGGATGCAGGTCAGCTCGGGTAAGTGGGGAAGTAGAGGACCTTACCCCCAAGGAAAGACCTACAGAAGCTCACATCCCCACCAGGATCAGGCTGGCCCAGCCAGAACCCAAGGCAGAGCCTGGCCCTCCAGGTGGACCCAGCTCACTGGAGCGTCACAGGTATCTGGGGTTGGCAGCCATGTCGTAGAGGAAGCCTGGGGCTGCAGGATCACATGCATGCCCTCAGTGGGTTGGGGTCATCTAGGATTTGCTTAGGTCAGGGTTGGCTCAAATACCAGCTGGGCTTTGACAGAACTGAGACACGCGGAGGCCAACATGCCATGATAGGAGGAAGAAGGAGGAGGCTGGAACTCAACAGTGGTTGAGTGATTTGCCCAAAGTCACATAGCAGGTGAGTGGCAGACTTGCATCCAGGCCTGGCTGCTTCTAAACTGCAGGGCTGTATGCCTGTACAGGGCAAGGGGCAGCCAGGGGAAAGACAAGGGGAATCAGACAGACCCCCAAAAGGATGTGGGTACTCTGAGCAAGAGAGAAGACATCGATGAGAGCATCTAGAGAGGGTCCCTTGGGTTGGGAATGAAGCCAGCATGGAGACCCTGTATGTCACTTTGGGATTGGAGATTATGAGCTGAGGGATATGAATAGAAAGAGCAAAACTCCTTCCCTTACTGACAACTGAGACACCTCATCCCGGTGGTACAGGGACTCTGAATCCAGACCCCAGTAGTAGTTACAAGCCACATGGGATTTCTTCCATATGCAAAAACAAAACAAAGCAAAAACAAAAACAAGCCAGGCGCTGATGGCTCACGCCTGTAATCCTAAGTACAGGAGCTCTGAGCATCAGTTCAAAGCCAGCCCAGGCAGGAAAGTCTCTGAGATTCTTATCTCCGATTAACTATCAAAAGAACCAGAAGTGAGCTGTGGCTCCAAGTGGTAAAGCACTAGTCTTGAGCAGAAAGGTTCACAGACAGCACCCAGGCTCTGAGTTCAAGCCCCAGGACTGACAAAAAAAAAAAAAAGTAAAAAAATTTCTAGCAAAAGTTTCCTACTGATCTTGGATCCACTGGGTTAAAGAAAATATAGTACTAAAATGAACTTCACCTGCTCTTTTTTCCCTTTGTAAGATAGCTACCTGTGCATGTAAACGTTCCCTGCATAGCTTACATCCAAGCTGGTGGATATAACAGAAAGAAAAGGCCTGGTCACTGGCTAGATGAGAGCCGCTACAACCATTGCCATAACCAACTTCAGAACATTGCAACGTCCTCTACACACACACACACACACACACACACACACACACACACACACACACACACACACACACACACACACACACACACACACACACAATCCTCCTGTCCAATAGCAGTCACTTCCTGTTTCCTACCTCCCACCCCCAGCCTGGGGAAACTCAAAGAGTACCAAGGTGAGCTACGACATGATCGAGAGACCAGTACCAAAACATCGCTGCATAGCTCCTTTAGCAGACTGACCAACAAACACCTGCCATCACCCACTTCCCCTGCAATCTGGGTGGACTATGGTGGTTCTGTGTCCCAAGAAATTGGCAGCTTCCTACATCCTTCAACACTTGCTCTTGAAGCCTTGAGCCATCAAGACAGGAAAGGGAAGAGTCTTAGAGCCACATGAGGAAGGGCAGAGACCCAGCCGGCTGCCTGGTGTTCTTTCCTGAAGTCACCCTTCCTGCAATGGCAGACAAGACAGTGTAGAGATGAAATTTCCTCTACTCCATCTACCCTGTGCCCATTCTGCCCACCCCCACTCCCAGAGAAACAAGATTCTTCCCCCACAAAATGATAGGTCCAAAGTTCTGCCAAGACCTGGGGACCCCCCTGAGCTCCTCTAGTCTGTAGTGGACTTGCCTTCCATGCAGCAAGCCTTGCAGGATCTCTATCAGCTTCTGTACCACTGAGAACGTATCTGCTATGGCTTAACTATGTCTCTGCCTCCAGTTCATATATTAAAGTATTAACTTTCACTGTGGTTGTATTTGGAGAGCTAGGTAGGCCTTTGGGAGCTAGTTAGGTATACATGAGTTTATGAGGCTGGCATTAATGCCCTTAAGATACCAGGAAGTGCTCTCTCCTCTTCTTTCCTCCTCTCCCCTCCCCTCCCCTCTCTTTCCTCTCCCTCTCCCTTTTTCTCCCTCTCTCTCTCCTCTCCTCTCCTCTCCTCTCATCGTTTGTCTCCTCCTCCCTCCATACAGTAGGGAGAGTCTTCCCCAGAAACCAACCATCCTCGAACCTTGAACATGAACTTCCAGCCTCCAGAACTTTAAGGAAGCAAGAGCTGTTGCTTAGGCCACGTTGTCTGTGAGGTTCTGTTAGACAGCCCAAGCTGACCACGAAAGTGCCCGAGGGTCCCACTGAGGCCCAAGGGTCACGTTGTCCTGGAAAGACGGGGTGAGCTCAGACCACTTGGGGATGTCAGGCCCTGAGAACACACGGGGTCACCACGAGGATCAGCCACCCAGTGCCGTGAGTCAGAAGCTGTTTATTAGCCAGAGCACACCAGGACCAGAATATACTTGCCAAAAATGGAACTTTAAGAAATCTACAGACTTGTGTGGGCTTTTTAGGAAGATATTTTCAGCGGCTGAGACAAAGATGGTGCCTCTGACATGTCCCCAGACCTACCTACCAGATCCATCTACATAAATCCAACTCTCTTCCACCAATTAGTGCCTAACCTTAAGCTTCTTCTAGTGAAAAACAATTTCACCAACAAAGAACCTCCTGGAGGGGGTGGTATAGCTGGAAGCCAGCAATTTACTGAACAAGGCATCTCATCACCAAAGATACTAAGATGACATTACTTTCTTTCTGTCCATCATAGGCCTTAAACTCAGAGCCTGAGCTCTGAGCTCTTTGGCTCAAGGTTAGCAGTTTACTATTTGAGCCATTGCCACTTCTGGTTTTCTGGTGGTTAACTGGAGATAAGAGTTTCATAGACTTTCCTACTTGGGCTGGCTTTGAACCGAAATCCTCAAATCCCAGTGTCCTGAGTAGCTAGGATTATAATCATGAGCCAACAGCTCCCGGTGACATTACTTTCTTGACTCAGTGCCTAGGCACTGTCCCTGAGCTCTTTGGCTCAAGGCTAGTGCTCTACCACTTGAGCCACAGTGCTACTTCTGGCTTTTTCTGAGCAGTTCATTGGAGATAGGAGTCCTGGACTTTCCTGCACAGGCTGGTTTCGAACCACAATCCTCAGATCTCAGCCTCCTGAATAGCTAGGATTATAGGCGTGAGCTACCAATGCCCGGTGACATTACTATCTTAAAATAAGAAGTACCTGGACTCTTTGGGACCCAAATGTGAATCTATTTTTCTTAAATAAATGTCTTTCTGCTGGACACTGGTGGCGCACTCCAGTAATCCTAACTACTCAAGACACTGCAATTTGAGGATCATGGTTCTAAGCCATCCTGGACAGAAAAGTCCCTATGAGATTCTTATCTCCAATTAACCACTCAAAAACAGAAACTGGAGTTGTGACTCAAAGTGGTAGAACAATAGCCTTGAGCAAAAGCTCAGGGACAGAGCCCAGGTCCTGAGTTCAAGCCCCACAACTGAAAGAAAGAAGAAAAAAAAAAAGAAATTTTTCTGAGGCCCAGAATTATTGCCATACAATGTTTCCCAAGCATCTAATACCAGCAGATGCTTTTGAAAAATGTCAGCTGGGGGCTGAGCAGCATGGATCAAATGGTAGAGTACCTGTGATACTAGTACTGATAAAAAAAAATGTCAGGTGGGAGTGACCTTTAACATGGCATCTGTCTTCAGACAGAGGGAGATGTCTTCTCTGTCTTCTCCTATAGAGAATGATGGAAAGTCACCCAGGACTATCCATGTCTCAATACCAATGATGTCTAGTTGCTTCCTGGGGAAGCCTGAGTCTAAACCATCACTTTATCTGACAGATCTCCCAGGGAAAGAGCTTGAGTCAGAGCAGCCAGGAGGCCATGGGCATTCAGCATGTTCTTCAGACTCCTTGCTCAAAGAGGATGCTCTACCTGCACCCTCACCTTGCCAGGTACCGTTAACCAGTGATGGGGGGGTGGGGGAACAACCAGGCTGGTGGAGAGGGATAAATGCTCCAGGGTTGAGACATGCTACAGCACTAGGCTGGAAACTTAAACCTTGCAGGCAGCCGGTCCTGGCTCTGTCTCTTATGTGCATACGTTTCTAGACTGTGGTATGTCTCCGTTTATCCACCTGCAAGGTGAGGTGGCTGGGGCTCTACTAATGGAGCCACACCTCCACTTCCACTCTACTATTGTAGCCACAACTCCACTTCTGGCTTTGGGGGGGGGGGATTAATTGGAGATAAGAGTCTCATAGATTTTCCTGCCTAGGCTGATTTTGAACCTCAATCCTCAGATCTCAGCCTCCTGAGTAGCTAGAATTACAGGCATGAGCCACTAGCACCTAGCCTCGGTTCAGAGTTGTTGAGAGGATATGTAAGTTGGTGCATAGACGCACACAATGTTAGGAGCTGGAGAATCCAATATATGCTGGTAGAGGGAATTCTGCAGGGGTGACGGGCTGATTGAGACCTGTTCCTTCTTTAGCCAACTCCCTGTCATGCCACTCCCAACTTCTTCTCTCATCTGGAGCTATTACTTTCTCAATGAACACCAAGCACAACCTGGCTTTAGCCAGGATGAACCCATCCTGGTCTCTGTATCTGGAGGACACTGCCTCTTGCTGGGTATGGCATAGAGCAATCAATATCGCACCCACTATCTTTAAGCCTTGGGTCTGGGCTAAGGGATGGGGACTGCACAGCCCACATGACCTATACCACAGAACTCTGCTAGACAGGGCCATGAGTCCTGGCCAGTGATGGGGAGAACCCCAGCTGTTGTGTAGGGGGCAGTTTTCCAAGTGCGATATTCAGACTCCTCCTCCCTGTGGCCTGTCCTGTCACCTGCCCCGAACCAGCCCAGCCATTCTAGATGTTTGCTCCTGAAAGCTGGAAGAGCTTCATTATGGATCTGATTAAATCATAAGGAATCTCATTTCAGGCTTGCCAGAAAACAAGTTATTTTCAGCATCCGTGGGCAGCAAAAGGAGAAGAAAGTCATGAGCCGGAAGGAATGACTGCAGAAATGAGCCCATTCAGAGGAAGGCTGGTCCTATGTCTCCTTGGCACAATGTTGGGTGCCAAAGAACTTGGGAGAAGTTGTCACAAGATATTCTGGGGTTTTGTGGGTTCTTTCAGTAACAATGGGAGATTGCATTCACTCTGAAGGTTGGAGAAAGCAACTCAGAAGTTAATTAGGGTCCCCCCAAAGAGCTTTTGTCATTAAGATGGGCCCAAACCAACCCAAGTAGATATATTCAAGACTAGCTTAAGAGGTGATGAGAAGCTGGCATCCCATGGCTCACACCTTTAATCTCAGCCGCTTGGGAAGCTGAAATTTTTGGGACTAACACTGGAGGCCAGCCTGGGCAGGGAAAAAGTTCGAGACGCATTGCCAACAAAGATATGGACATAATGGTGGGTGCCTGTAATCCTAGCTACCAAGAAACATAACATAGATGCATCACACCCAGACTCACCCCAGCAGGAAACAAAACCCTACCTAAGAAACAACCATTAAAAATCAGGGTTGGAGGTGTGGCTCAGTGGTCAGAGTGATTGTTTAAGAAGCCCAAGGCTCTGAGTTTAAACACCAGTACTGCCAAGAGGGGGGAGAAGGGGGAAGACTGAAAGAGCGCCCTAATGAAGCAATTTTACGTGATGTATTATGTGGGACAGACAACCCTTGCTTTCTCCTCTGATTTACAATGAACACTGCTGGAGGAAAAAAAAGAAAGAAATCTTTCATACTAAAGTACTAATGATTATAACAACAACAAAAAAGGTTCATATGAATGACTGATAGGAAGCTGGTCTTGAGTAAACAGAAAAAAAAATGTACACATGACCTACAATGGAAGAGGTATTAACCTTGCTTCTAGCCTACTTCAACCAAAGCTAATAGAGGTAATAGTCAACATCTCCTTTGATGGCGCTTACTGCCCATCTATGAATATTCTGAGCCCCTAGTTCTCCCCAATATCATTCATCCTGCTGAAAAGATGAGGAATTAGCACTTAAAAGAGGTTGGGTAATTTGCAAAGTTTATCTGACTGCAAGCTCTTAACCTTTGGGGTCTACCACACACCCCAGAAACCCATACCTTACCTCTAAGGTCCTTCAATTTCCCATACCCCACTTACACTTTCAGAGGCTTTATTACTGAGCATGCTGCATTTGTGAATTAAAAATTCATTCCATCTGGCTGATGATTATTTTTCTATTCGTGTTTCTGTTTCAACATTGATCCAGACTTTAACCCCAATTATTGAGAGTTCAACATGACCTTAGGAAATCACACAATCCAGAGTTGTGGCTATACAGCTAATAAGCAATCAAATGAAATAAGCAAAACTGTCATTCTCCTGTACCAAAATCTGTCAAGTATATGTGTGTGTCTTCAACCCAGAGGTCTAGAGGTCCCAGAGGGAGGATCTGGTCACAGCGTTTGCCCCACCCAATAGAACTCAGACATTTTAGGGACATCAAGAGCATATCATGTCTCTGCGCAACATGACATGCTCAGAATTATCACACTGTGTTACTAGAATTCCAGCCTAAAGAAAAGGAACATCTAAAATGCATGGTAGATGATAACAATGATGACCCTTTTCAGTACGCATGCTCCTGCACAGACTCCTTCCACGCTGATGCTAAACTTGGTCATGTGATTCACTTGGCCCAATGAGACATCAGCAAACCTGATACAGGCAAGACCTTGATAACTTCTTGTGTACCTGGGCTTACCTTCCTGCAACTGAGACCATGATCTGGGATGAAAGACCACATGGAGAAAGAGACCAACGCAGGTTCACAGAGCCAAAACATTGGCTGACCCTGTAGTACCTACGGCCCTAAGCATGAACTCAGGCCAGGGCTGGGAATAGAGGCCTAGTGATAGAATGCTTGCCTAGCTGGCCAGGGACTGGTAGCTCATACCTATAATCCTAGCTACTCAGGAGGATGAGATCTGAGGATCATGGTTCAAAGCCAGCCTGGGCAGGAAAGTCCATTAAAACTCTTCTCTCCAATTAGCCTCCAGAAAACTGAAAGTGGTGCTGGGACTCAAAGTGGTAGAGCACTAGCCTTGAGCAAAAGAGTTCAAGGATAGCTCACACACACTTAGTTTAAGCCCCACAACCACCACCACCACCAACAACAACAACAAAGGAGTAAACTCAGGCAAAAAGTGTTAGTCAGCTTATTAGTTAAGTACTATGATAAAGTACCTGAGGAAAGGAACCAAAGGGAGGGGAAAAAAAGGGAAGGAAAGAGGAAAGGAAATGAAAAACAAAGGCCTGGACACTGTCTCTTAGCTTTGAACTATGATCCTCAGATCTCAGCCTCCTGAGTAGCTAGAATTATAGGCGTGAGCCACGGGCACCCAGCCTCTTAGCTTTTTTGCCCAGAACTAGTGCTCTACCACTTAAGCCACATCTCCATTTCTGGCTTTTTGCTGGCTGATTGGAGATAGAGTCTCACAGACTTTCCTGCCTGGGCTGGTTTTGAATTTTGACCCTCAGATCTCAGCCTACTGAGTATCTTGAATTACAGGTGGAAGCCACCAACACTCGACCTGGAAAGATTTATTTAGGTTCATAGTTTTAAAGGTTTTCATCCATAGCCAGCAGAAGGGCAGGGCAGAGCAAAGCTGCTCACCTTACAGGGACAAAGAAGCCGAGAGAGCGGAAAGGAAGGAAAGAGCAAGGATGAGAAACACCTTGAAGGGCACACCTCAGAGTGACCTAACTTCTTCCAACTAGGCCCCATCTCCTACAATTTCCAACCCCTCCCAATGGTCCACAATGTTATAAATTCATCCATAGATGAACCCATCGGTTAGGCTGGAGCCCGGAAGATAGAATCATTTCCCAAGAGCTCAACCACTGAACACTGCTTCGTTGGGGCAACTAAGACTTCATCACTCAAGCTGCTCCCTGATATAAGACCAGCAGCAGAACTGCCTGCTGAAGCCAAAGAATAATTGGGAAATAGTAAGCTGTTCTGAGCACTGTTTCAGGGGAGTTGTTATGCAACAAGAGCTGACAGATGAAGCACAGCGCTTCACGGTGACTCACACAGAGACCTGCCATTCCTGCCTTTGTGGTATCCAGGGAATTCAGAGGCCCTAAGCACAAACACTGTGGAGCATTTCTCTTAGAGGACTGAAAGCCTTGCCTCCATCAGATCTGAGTGTAACTTAGCTTTTCTTTTGTAAATGACAAAAGTGCCCTTGTCCTCCTCCTACTGGGCAGCTTTCATACTTCCCTCTTCACCTCTGCTCTGCAAACTCCCTGAAGTCTAACACAGTAAATAAGGCAGGGAACAGTAGCACTAGCTCTGTTGTTGGACCAAACATGGCATAGGTGAGAACATTCTAGAATTTTCTTCAGCTTCTCAAACCTTTCTCAAAACTTTCCTCTACGTGGTTGGCAGATGGTTTGGCTTTGGCCATTCTTCCCACTCTATCAGGAAGGAAACAGGTCTAAGGTAGACAGCAAGCAGGAGTAAGTCATGTCAGAAATGTTTTCAACTCTCTCAGTGAGTTCTGTAGGCTGGGACATTTCAGAGAGAGAAGCTAATGTGGTTTGGATCTGGAATGCACTCAGAGGCCATGTGTTGCAGGTTTAGTCATCAGCCTGCGGTGTTTTGGGGAGATGGTGGAACCTTGAGGAGGTGGAACCTAAGGGGAGGAAACTAGGTCATTGTGGGCAGGGGGAGGTATGGCTTTAAAGGGGACACTGGAGAATAGGAGGATCACAGTGCAGGGATACCCTTCTCTGTCCAACCTTGTTTCCCAGCTGATATGAGGTGAGCAGTCCTCCTCTCTATGATGTACTACTGTGCCACTGGAGACCCAACCATAGGGCCTAGTGACCACGCACTGAAACCTCCAAGATCAGGAGCCAAAATAAACCCCACCTTCTTTTAAGTTGTCACTGGTATTTAGTCACAACAAGGGGACTGACACGGGCTCTGTAACTCCAAAGAGTCTTTGGCAAGCCCTCTTCTATGTGTCCTTATGACACCCTGGAGAGATGCTGGCTGAGTGGTATGGAAGTTGGGATCTGGGGCCAGTGCCAAGGGAGTTTCAATTGGCTGAATTTACCCCTCTGCAAGACCTCCAGGTCAGCATTAGTTTCATGGATGACCAAACTAAACAAAGTAGTTTCCACTCCCAAAGAGGAATTTCACACTATCTAATATCATGAGGCTACTGCACAAAATCACAGCACTGGGATGACAGGAAATGAGAATCGCCTTCCATGGCAAGAGATTCATTTAAGCATGGTTCACTCATTCTGTGCCTATAAGCAGCAGACCTAGCTGGGGTGGGAATTGCAATCAGAAGGTTGTGAGGAGGTGCACAGTCATCGTGTTGGAGGGAATTATGCCGAGATGGGTCGAACTCTCCTTTCTCCATAATCAGATTATGCTTAGCAACAGGATGTAAACATTCATAGCTATTGGTCACAGTGTCCTCTCTTCTGGAAAGGACTAAATAGCAATGCTCATAAACGGTCTCCTTGCCTCCTTTCTCTGGAGCCTGTTCTTGACAAGGCCATCTTTACAACACCTCTCTCTATGGCACAGTTACATGAGTGCTGTGCCTTGACAAAACGGTTCTGCTAGACTCCGCTCCCATGTGGCCTGGCTCATTCCACTATGAAATGGAGGGTCATAGCTTGAGAACTATCAACCCAGAAAAGCTAGATGTATGCCTGTCATCCCAGCTAATGAAAATGCAAATAAGAGGATCATAGTCCAGGCAAGACCCAGGGGGAGGGGGAAGCAGACGTAAGACACTATCTGGAAAACAAAAAACAAACAAACAAACAAAATACCTAACTAAAAGTAAAAAGAACCAGAAGTATAACTCAAGTGGTAGAGAAACAATTCTGGGAACTGCTGAACCTGAGACAAAGCTGGGAAGAAAAACTTAACTGTTAGGATAGACTGGTCATAGTCATCTAACTTAGACATTTTTTTTGTAACCTATATCCCCACATGTGCTTGAAGCTGTGAGCTCCTTGAAGTTTTTAGATACATACAACCCTGCCTCCGTTAGCTTGAGTTTCTGTCACTAGTGACATTAAAAAAGTCCTAATTCATCACTTAAGAATCCAAAATTAGGGCTGGGAAGGTGGCTCAGATGCTTGCCTTGCATGCATGAGGCCTTGGGTTCGATTCCTCAGCACCACATAAGCAAAAAGAAAAAAGCTGGAAGTGGCGCTGTGACTCAAGTGGTAGAGTGCTAGCCTTGATCTGAAGAGCTGAGGGACAGCGCCCAGGCCCAGAGTTCAGGCCCCATGACCGGACGCCCCCCCCCAAAAAAAAAGAATCCAAAATTAACTGAGTAGGTGAATAATAGGCTTCTAAGTGAGCAAGATAAATTCAAATTCTTGACTTTGGAGTCAAAAGGCAAGCGTGTGTCGAGGAGAGCTCTGGGTCCTGGCGAGGTTCTGTTTCTCCAGCTAACTAAGGCTGCTTCCATGTGTGCATGTGGCATATGGAAGTGTAGCTAGCTCCCCTTTGAACAGTTTTCCTAGAAAATCAGGATGGAAAAGAGACTTCACTATTGGGAAACCAATCGAGGGAGTTTATTTTCTTACAAGTTCAGTACAAATCAGTAATAGTTATTAAAAAAAAAAAAAAGACAGAAACTTGGGCCATGCTAATCAACAAACAAAACCACAATGAGAAAAGTAACAATTGTACTCACTCTAAGTTAAGCCAGATCAGACTTTAGGAAGGATATGAAGAAAGCAGAGCATGTTCAAAAATGTCAAAGCCGCCGTGGCTCACGCCTGTAATCCTAGCTACTCAGGAGACTGAGAACTGAGGATCACGGTTCAAAGCCAGCCTGGGGGGCTGGGAAGGTGGCTCAGTGGTAGAGTGCTTGACTTGCATGCATGAGGCCCTGGGTTCAATTCCTCAGCACCACATAAGCAGAAAAAGCCTGAAGTGGCATTCTGGCTCAAGTGGTAGAGGGCTAACCTTGAGCTGAAGAGCTGAGGGACAGCAACCAGGCCCAGAGTTCAAGCCCCAAGACCGACAAAAACAAACAAACAAACAAAAGCCAGCCTGGGCAGGAAACTCTGTGAGACTCTTATCTCCAATAAACCACTCAAAAACCAGAAGTGGTGCTGTGGCTCAAGCA